CTGTGCACCCCGCCGGGTATGGCTTCCCGTCCACGCCCCCCTGTCTTCAACCCAGATCGGCATCCCCATCCTTATCCGCACCAGAACACGAGAATTTTCTGAAACCCTGCCACTCCCCTAGGCATCTTCACGCCAGCTCTGTCTTCAGTCCCATGTCTAACTTAATCACACATGAATTTGCATTTCACGCTCGCTCTTTTAAATTGGCCAAGGAAGTGGGCAAACCTGGCATGTCAAGGCTAGACCTATCCTGGATCCCCTGTGCTATCCCAAGATGCCAGGCGGGCCTGGCCTGAGGATCTGTGGAGCCCACAGGACACTGGAGCAGTGACAGGGGGGAGAGGGTGTCCCCCAGATTTCGTGTGTGGAAATCTGGTCTCAGTTCTGCCCCCAGATGCTGGTGTGACTTTAGCATTGATTTCCTTCCTAGGGCTGTCCTAAGACTCAATGGGATAAAGCAGTTTAAGACTGTGAATATAGGTCATTTTCATCTCCTTATTGATATTTCCTGAGTGCTTCTTTCTCTGTTTCCATGGGTGCGGTTTCTGCACTGAGGACGGAGGTGGTCGTAATTCAGCGTGGACGTGCAGGTGTATATTTGCTGATTGCGGTCTGGTGACTGTCACCATGCCTTTGCTTAGTTCTTGGTCCCTGTCTGAGGCAGGGTAGGGTAGGTCTCCTCCCTGTGCCTCTAGACCGGCTTGGCAGCCACCGATCTTTCTAAACTAGGCGTTGCAGAGTAGCAGCTCTGGGCCAGATTTGGCTCCCAGGTTGGAGTTGTGTTTTGTTTCGTTTTGTTTCGCTTTGCTTTATATTTTGGCTTTTACTACATTTAGCTCCCAAGAATATTTAGGTAGTTTACCATTGGGAGTTTTCACTTAAAGTGTGGATTCTTGGCTACTCTTAGCAGGTGGGGCAGTGAGGCAGACCTGAGCCTGCGTCTGCGTGGAGCTTTCCTGACCTCTCCAAGGAGTAGGTCCCCCAGGTCGCCACAGCTCCCAGGGCGGCCTAGTTTCCTTGGCTGTGGTGTTGACCTGGCCCTGCTCGAGGCCTGAGATGTCACCTACACCTGCACTCATAGTTCCCATACCTCTGTAGCCCGGCTTGGGCCCCTCGTTGCCTTTACTGGCTCCATTGTTTTAAGAGTTTCGTGGATATCTGCGTTTCTAAACTGCAGTGCTAAACTGTCACAGTTCCCACTTTCCTCCATGACCCATTATTTCGATGACACCAAGAGGATGGCACAAGAAGAGCTCTCCTCCCTGCTGTGACCTGGAGCCAGGGTCTCACCACACTGTTCTCTGTTCCCGACTCAGGACCGACTGTCACCAACTCCCCGCTGTTCTGTAAGTTTGGGCGAGGGCCAGAGCCATGGATAGGCAATGTCCAGGGCCAGAGAAATCTCCTGGACCATCCTTCAGGTGAGTGTGCTCAGCTGAGACGGAGCAGGTGCTACCAGCCTCTCACTGCCGCCTTGTCTAAATTCACACACGGTCCAGCATCGCCCTCCTCCCTTCCCTGCCCTCACTGCCTGCCTCCCTGGAGGTGCATGTTGATTTGTTACTAGGTATTGTACCTCGCAGGAGGCCATGCCTCTGTCTCCCTGCTGTCACGCCGGCAGGGCCCGGAGCCGCGCCAGTGAGCAGTAACGTCCGATAGGAATCGAATCACTAAGTTTGCTGTCCCTGATTTCTCTCAGATGGGCCACAAGAAGTCCTAGACTGCTCGGTGCCTCTGTCGGATATCATAGATGCTCTTTGCTTTGTTTGTTCCTCCTTGTTTGTCTCTTACTTTCTAGCCTGTGGGCACTTCATTAACAGCTTGTTAAGTGCTGTGCACAGACAGAGGACCCCCCAGGGCTGAGCTCACTTCAGATCCTGGCCTCAGTAGCTGGGAATCAGGCTGACTGGGTATGCGTGTGCTTGCTCCTGGTCCTGACGGATGGGGAATGTGGGAGACGGGATCACAATCGGGGGTATTCTTATCTTTCTCTGCTGAGCACATGTGCTCTTTATCAGTTAAAAAAGAAAAAGAAAAAAATGGCTCCAGGGAAGTTAGAGTCACCTAAGTTGCATTTGCTCTAACGAGAAATCTCTGGTTTAGGGGCCAGCAGGTGGTATGGTAGTTAAGGCACTGGAATTCTCACATGACCCACTGCGGTTCGAATCCTGGACCTGGTGGCATGCTTTCTCGCTCTCCCTCTTGCTCTCTGTCTCTTTCTCTAGCAAAACTCATGTGAAAAATAATAAGAATAATACATAAAATAAAAAACGAATAATTCTTGCAAAAGTAAGAAAGAAACTTCTAGTTAGCTCAAAGAAAAACCATAGTGAGGCCCTGAGTGCTTTTGCCTCTCTGGAGGATTGTGGCATAACAAGAGTTTGACTGGAATCTGTCTGGAGGGTTGGGTCAGCGTCACTGCAGCTGCAGGCTATCTGGGGGACCAGCTGTGCTTCCAGAGGCAGGTAGCTTGTTTGCCCTAGAGATGCCTAAGCAAACGTCAGATGCCTTCACATCAGGCCTGCTGCAGGGGTGACCTGCCCTAGAGGAGCAATGTCACCTGGCTTTGATGGTCTTTACCACTTGTTCTGTGAGGTCAGTTTTCCTATCCGTAAGTGAGTTTTGACCCGTTGAGATTGTGTCACTATCTTAGGTTGCATAAATCAAATTGCAAAGGTCTCCTTTGAGCCAGGTGTATCTGTCCCTTACGTTAAAGGGGTAGGGGGAGGTTACACAAGCCCATTCCTTTGAGTTCTTCTGGATTAGGTAGGGTGGGCCTGGGGCCACAGGGACTGAAAGAAGAGCTCTCAGGTGGTGCCTGGGCTCTTTGGACTGCGTGTGCTTGACACTGTTCACGCTTGACACCGAGAGCCTCCCCAGGCTGTACGGCTCCAACTACAGAGTTTCAAAGCAAATTCCATTTGTCCCTTTTCTCTAAAGGAAAGAAACGGGTGAGCTGCATGGAAGAAATGGACAGGCAGGGTCCTGTCATGGGGTGTGGACGGTGGCAGCCACCCCAGAAGAAAGCCTGCCTTTCTCCCTTCAGCACAGAGAGTGGCCACATCAGGGGAGACTGGACAGCAAGAAGCAGGAAAGCCCTGAAGCCCCGGTCTATCCAGAAGGCGTGGTTTGTGCAGTTCCCGTGGCTGATCACCAACGAGGAGCAGACGGCTCTGTTTTGCTCTGCTTGCCGAGAATACCCATCTGTCAGGGACAGACGGTCGAGACTGATAGAGGGTTACACGGGGCCGTTCAAGGTGGAGACTCTCAAGTACCACGCCAAGAGCAAAGCTCACCTCTTCTGCGTCAATGCCTTGGCTGCGAGGGACCCCCTCTGGGCGGCCCGGTCCAGGAGCATTGGAGATGTGTCTGGAGGTGTGCCGGCCGGTCCGGAGCACCTCTTCACTGCAGATCACCCCATTTTCTATCCCCCGGGGCCTCTGGGGGACAGCATGACCAAACTCCTGCCATGCCTAGGAGCTGAACTGGAGGACCCTGGGGGGAATGGAGTGATTCCCCCAAGGAATGGAGTGATTCCAGCCTTGTATCTAGACAGCATTTCAGATCTGATGCAAAAAGAAGTCACCGATGGCATCCACGACACCTCAAGCAGCAGCGTTTTATGCAAGGATGCGGTTGGATCCTGCCATCAGGTAATGTGTTCATGGTGATTGTTGTCTCACAGAGCAGGAGGCTGGGTGACAATGACGAAGGAAGCGTGGGGACGCGCCCTGCTTGTGTTGCCATAGCAAACGTGCTTACAAACACTCGGCCTTGTCCTGAGTGCTTCACATGGAGCGTCTCAATTCAGGCAACGGCCCTGTTCCTGTGATCTCCTTTTCATGGATAACGAAACGTAATTAGGGGACAGAACATTCTACCTTCTTCTTTGTTTTAGAGTTTTGGGGTTTTTGTTTTTGTTTTTTTTTTTCTATAGGGCACATGCCTTCTCTGGAGAGACAGTGAGAGAGAAAGAGAGGAATCCCCTCCTCCACAGGGGGGGTGGCCACTCACGCACACATGCCAGCTTGAGTTTCAAGCGGCCGGGTCTGGGACTCCAGCCGTGGCCAGCCATGTGGGCATCCAGCACCTTAGTCGCTACACCACCTGCTGGCCCCACATCAGAGTCCAGAACAAACACAGAACTCAAGAAATAAGCCACAACCAGAGACCAGCCACAGAGCTCTTAAATAATCTGCTTTGTAAACATTTTTAACTCTTTAGAGTCATGTTGTACTTTTAAACATTGCAGCATTTTCTTCGTATGTTATGTGATTTCTTGTTTCTAGCGTTACTAGGTAGGACTTTACTATAGATCATTCCAGCGCGCCCTCTAGGAGTCCAGTGAGACCAGCCCAGAGGTCCCCATAGCTGACAGCACGAGGGATCCAGTTCAAGTGAGGAAGCTCTAATTTTTCCAGAATACAATGAAGCTCATTTATTTTCTTGTCCCTACTTTTTTTTTTTTTAGCATTAAAAGCTAATAAATGGGCCAGCAGGTAGCATGGTGATTAAGGTGCTGGACTCCCACATGGCTGACTGCAGTTTGAGTCCTGGACCTGGTGGCTTGAAACTTCCAATGAGCATGTTTGTGTGCGTGCCCAAGATCCTGAGAGGAGAATGGAGGAGAAGGGATTGTGGCGTGGCCCTCCCCCGGGGGGGTGATTTCTCACTTTCTCTCTCTCTCTCTGTGCCTCTGGCAAGTGCACGTACCCTATAACAAAAACCTTTCTAAAAAAATTTTAAAAGCTAATAAATAGACCTAATCTTTTTTTTTTTAATTTATTTGTTTACGTTCATTCACTGTACATCATTATAGCATACAAAATGAGATTTTCCATCCAGAGTACACTGTATATTGTCTTAATCCAGCACATCAACATACATGTTATTGTCAACAAATAATTTTCCATTTCTTGTTTCCTGTATGTTTTGCTTCCCCCCCATCCTTGATTCCCTATCTCTTACCCTCTGCCATCTCCCACTCTCCTCCCACACTGTCTCTGGTATCTGTTTACTTTCTATACTGTTTCCCCCCCATTTTTTATTGAATTATTAAAGATCTTAATTAATCTAAATGTTTTCATAGCAAACACAGCTGATATATACATTTCCATGAACACAAGTCTAACTTTAGGCATCCTATAAAGTAGCACCTAGCTGGGGCTATATATCTTAACTGCGGTCATCAAATGGATTTTTTTTTATTTTTCTGAAACCTTTCTCTTTTCTTGTAACTTAATTTACATTCTTTCCATAAGCATCATAATGTGATTTCCCATCTAGAATATACTGCATAGTGACTTAATCATGCATATTATTATCCAAAATTTTCTACCTCTCTTTTTGACCCTCTGTCCTTTCCCACCCTCTTCTCCCACTGTCTCTGGTGAATAGACCTAATCTTTAAAAGTATGAATTCCGTTAGCACTGAGGTGTGTGTAAACCTCGGCCCTGATTATTGGATCTTCCGTTCTTTTTGACTACTTCTTCCTTCACTTTGTTCCTAGAGTCAAATGGTCACTTTGTCATCACGGATTTGTAGAAGGCACATTTAGACAGGCTGCAGTCCTAGCCTGTACGAAATATCTGTTCTTTCCATGTATTTTTCTTCCACAAGTGAGAGAGCATCCCCGACAGGACCCCGAGGCCGTGATTCACCCCCAGCCTCAGCCAGCCTAGATCATACTGGGCATACTCAGGAAGGTTGATGGACTTGAACCAGCAACCTCCTGTGTGGGATTACCTCTCAGGCCATTGTGTTTACAACTTTGCCACTGTCTGGCTCCATTCGCATGTGTTTTTATTTCCTCCCAGAAGACCCTGTGGACTGAGGCTCATTTTGGTTTGCCTGCTATGGGTTTCACAAGTGCGATTCTTTGACTTTCTGTGGATGTGTTAATTCCTCAGAGTACTTGATGAGCTTCCCAGGAATGAGCGTGGGAAAGGCCCGGGTGTCACATGGCATCAGCCTCTGAAGGCGTGCTAAGTGACTCTGCTCTTTGTTGCAGGACCCTTCCGAAAAGGGGCTGTTGGAGGAGGTTCCTGTGGTGTTTGAGGAGCTCCCAGTGGTATTTGAGGATGTGGCAGTGTATTTCACCCCGGAGGAGTGGGGCCTGCTAGACAAGCGGCAGAAGGAGCTGTACAGAGATGTGATGCGGCTGAACTATGAGCTGTTGGCCTCCCTGGGTAAAGACTCGCATAGATGTCACCGGCCACCGTTGTTTGGGAAATCCTCAAGGGCAGCGTGGCTTGTGCTCTTCTTCCCTTTTCTGCCACCACCTGTATGTAGGCAGAATGGTCGTCTCTTTTGTACCTCAGAATGCTTCCTGCTTTAAGATACTGTATCTTATCAACCCTTCGTCCGAACACCTATCCATCCATCCATACACCTGTCCATCATCCATTCATCCATCCTTCCACCTGTCCATCATCCATCCACCTGTCCGTCATCCATCCATCCATTCATCCACCTGTCCATCCATCCATCCGCTTGTCCATCCATCTGTCTATCCATCTATCCATCCACCTGTCCACCCATCCATCCACCTATCTATCCACCTGTCTATCCATCCATCTATCCACCTGTCCATCCATCCACCTGTCCATCCATCCATCCATCCATCCATCCATCCATCCATCCATCTATCCACCTGTCCATCCATCCATCCATCCATCCACCTGTCCATCCGTCCATCCATCCATCCTTCCATCCATCCATCCATCCATCCATCCGTCCACCTATCCATCCATCCACCTGTTCACCGTCCATCCTATCTGTCCATCCATCCATCCATCCATCTGTCCGTCCATCCATCCATCCATCCATCCACCTGTCCATCCGTCCATCCATCCATCCATTCATCTATCCATCTGTCCATCCATCCATTTACCTGTTCATCCATCCACCTACCCATCCATCATCCATCCATCCACCTGTGTTCACATCCATCCTACCTGTCCATCCATCCATCCATCTGTCCATCCGTCCATCCATCCATCCATTCATCTATCCATCTGTCCATCCATCCATTTACCTGTTCATCCATCCACCTACCCATCCACCTGTCTATCCATCCATCCATCCACCCATCCATCCATCCACCCATCTACCCATCCATCCATCCACCTGTCCATCCATCCACCTGTTCACCATTCATCCTACCTGTCCATCTATCCATCCATCTGTCCATCCATCCATCCATCCATCCACCCATCCATCTATCTACCTGTCCATCCATCCATTTACCTGTTCATCCATCCACCTACCCATCCACCTGTCCATCCATACACCTGTCCATCTATCCTCCACCAAACATCTACTGAGCACCTACTAGATGAACATGAATAAGCCAAAGTCTCTGCTTTCAAGGGCCTAACAGGTTTGTGAGAGAGACTTGACATTTTAATAGGAAACTATAAAATGGGCATCAGCAGGTGACATAGTGATCATGGTGCTGAACTTCCACATGGTCAACTATGGTTCAAGTCCTGGACCTGGCAGCTTAAAAATCATGCATGTGTGTGTTTGCCCAAAATTTCAGGAGGAGAATGAAGGAGAAGAGATTGTGGCATGTCCATCCCTGCTGGGGAGTGATTTCTTACTTCCCTTCTCACCATCTCTCTCTGTCTCTCTCTGGCAAGTGTGCGCACCCTATGGAAGAAACCTTAAAAAAAAAAAAAAAAAGAGGGACCAGCAGATGATGTAATGGTTATGTCACTGGACTCCCATGTAGTTGACCACTGTTTGAGTCCCAGACCCAGCGGCTTAAAACTCACACCAGGCGTACACGTGTGCATGCCCAAGATCCTGAGAGCAGAATGGAGGAGAAGGGATTGTGGTGTGGTCATCCCCCTTGGGAGGTGATTTCTCACTTTCTCTCTCTCTGTCTCTCCAGTGAGCACACATGCCCTATATCAAAAATATCTCTAAAAGAAAAGACAAGGAAAGGGAAGGGAAAGGAAGGGACTATAAAATAATGCAAGCGCCCCTAAAAGAATTTCAGGAAGAGTAACCTGAGGCTACTGAAGAAGAACGATTTAAGTTTACTGGATATTGGAAGGAGGAGTCAGGAAATGCAACAGTTTTAAACCAGCTGGACCCCAAGGAGGAAAGACATGAAGACATGGCAGAGAGAGGGGACAGCATGAGCAAGGACCTGGGAGCACAAGGGCCTGCAGGGGTGCTGCTCTGTGCGGTGTGGTTTCTAGATGTCTCCCTCTGGCCCGGCACCTACAGAGCGTGGCCACCTTGGACGTGGGTGTCACTGTGAGGTCTGGACCACGCTGGGTTGCGAAGGTGGTGGTGGTATTGTTGCTTCTCAGATAGCGTTTGCATCTCCTGCATCTCTTTCTTCTCCGCCTCTTTCTGGCAGACTCCCAAGGTCCTTGGACAGCATCAGGATAGAAAGACACCTTTCTCTTGCACTGATTTCATGTGGTCCTGTCTCACCAACGTGTTGTAGTAGGACAGGCTGCTGCACATGATGGGAACTCCAACAGCCACCTGTTCCGTGCTTTCTGCAGAAAAAGAATAGTCGCTCCTTCCTGATGTCTCATCCCTCTGTTTACGCTGTCCTGTGAGAGGTAGCTGAGACCTAGGTCTATTTCTGGACACTCCAGACCTACATGCAGTACTTGTTTGATCAGTGTTCACAGCTTGCTTGCTCATTCACTTGCTGATTGATTGATTGATTGATTGATTGATTTAAATTTGACCAGAGAGAGAAAGTGAGAAAGCAAGCTGCCAGGTCTGGGACTCAAACCATGGTCGGTCATACAGGAGTCCCCCACACCACCTGCCGGCCCCAGTGTTCACAGCTTTTAATGTCTCTGCTCACGGTCAGACATGACTGAGGATTACTTGTGTTGTGGTGACAGTGTGTATCAGCCCTAGGTCCAGGGCACTTACACTTGAACATAGCGAACCTTCAAAGAGCATTGTACCCTGCTGGCTGGAAAGGAGTGGGAACAGGATACATTTGTAAAACAAACAAACAAACAAAAACAACTTGCTTCCAAAAGGGGGGGGAGGTTCCTTCACAGTCATCCACACCTGGTCACTTTCTCTAGTCCTCCTGCCTGAGCACTTCCTTGTCAGCTCCTGGGCACCCTCAGGGTGAAGGCAGGGCCCAGCACCAGTTTCTCGGCCTCCTCCCACCCTGGTGCCTCTGCAGTCGAGCTTTGGAAGAACGAGGGGAGCTGGCTCTCGCCTCTTGGGCCTTTACCAGAGCCGGCAGGGTCACACGCTGATAGCAGTCACACGTGTTCATCGCTCTTCCTGGCTGGCTGTTTGAGATTCTCCCTCTTGATTCCTGCATGGAGGACGAAGACACGGCCCTCCGCCCCCACCCGGGCCCTCTCCCTCCACCTCTCAGAACAGGTATAGCACACTTTTTTGGTTAAATCAACGTATCATTTGCCTAATTAAATATTATTTCCAGCTGAGCAAAGTGTGATATTTGGGTCATCAGGAAAGTCTTGACACAGTTTTGCACAGGAAAATATGTCATGACTTTTCTGATGACCCCATATGATGGTGTCATTTGCAGGGTGTTTTCCCCTGGGATTGAAATTCTTTCTTTTCTTTTGCCAACTGTCTGTTCTCTCCCCAGCTCTCCCCACACTTGCTGGTCGAATTACAGGCGCTTCTGAGAAGTCTTTTCCCCATGCCCAGCTTTCTTGGGATCTATCAGGTTCACTTTCTCTCTGGAGCCTTCCCTGGCCCTGTCTAAGCCAGCAGTCCTTGGCACCCTGTGCAGCTGTGCCTGGGGCTTCCCTCTGCCTCTCAGACCCTGGCCCCAGCTCTCCTTCCAGGGTTCAGATCTTTGCTGTGGGATCTACTGGACGGATTCCAAGTGTGTGTGTACTAGCACACACGGGGACATGGTGTGTTCCTAGGAAGACTGCAAGGCAGGAGGTTTGGTTTTTGTTTTATCACTATGTTTAGACCCTGCCTATCTCTTCATGCCCCTATTCTGCCCGCACGGCACCATCGGTTGGGCGTAGAATCCAGGTGGAAATACTTTCCTCGGCATTGTGGCAGTGTTCTCACAGGCTTTACTGGTGGTGCCAAGAAATCTGAGGCCTTTGTATTCCTAATCTTTCACCGTGATCTACTTTTTTTTTTTTTTTTCTGAAAACTTTTTTTATTTTGAGAGGTTTTCGCTATAGGGCGCATGCGCTTGCCAGATAGCAAGACAGACAGAAAGCGAGAAATCACCCCCCAGGGGGGATGGTCACGCCACAATCCCTTCTCCTCCATTCTCCTCTCGGGATCTTGGGCACGCACGCACACGCACCCGGTGTGAGTTTTAAGCCACCGGGTCCGGAACACGAACTGCGGTCGACTACGTGGAAGTTCAGCAACATAGCCATTACGCTAACTGCTCGTTCCCTTACTCTGAAAGCTTTTAAAATCTATTCCACCGTTCTGACATTTTTAATGAGATGCCTTGATGTGGATGTTTTGTATCTTTAATTCTGAGTAACTGGTGCCGCTCTGTCATGTGGAAGCTCTTATTTTCCAGTTGGGGGAAATGCTCTTGTGTTGTGTCTTCTATGGATTCTTCCTATTTCCTTTCTTCCAGAAACTCCTATTAGCTAGAAATTGGACTTCCTATTATGAGCCTCTGGTTTCTTATTCGTTTCTTTTTCTTCTATTTTCTGCTTATTTTTGTGTGTACTAATTTCTCGGATACAGCCTCGATTTTATTTTGTAACTATCTTATGTATTTATTTTTAAATTTATTTATTTTATTTTTATTGTTCTTTTTAAAAATATTTTATCGCTATACATCATTTGGCTTATAAAGAGAATTTACCGAACATGAAATACTCCTCAGACCAGTCCAGTTGAGAATACTATACACATTATCATCAGCAGGTACTAAACCATCTCTGGGTCCCACAAATGTCTTGCCTCTATGTTTCTCCCTGATTTCCTTCCCTATACTCTTCCCTTCTCCCACCCTCCTTCCACTCTGTCTCCAGCATCCATAACTATTTTCACTGCTTTTGTGTCCTCCAGTCTTTCAGTCTCTACCATAGAGTGCAGACAGTCAGGGTATATTAAGTGGAGACGCAATATCTCTCTTTCATAGCCTGGCTTGCTTCACTCAGTAATAAAGCTTCCATATTCGACCACTTTCTATCAAATGCCAGGGTCTTATTGGTTTTTGCAGCTGAGTAGTATTCCATGGGGTATATATGCCACACTTTTTCAATCCATTCATCTGTTTGTGGACGTTGGGTTGGTTCCATGTCTTAGTGATTGTGAATAATGCCGCGATAAACATTGATGTGCAAGCGCTTTTCCGACTGAGCGTGCTCCTGTTCTTTGGGTAGATACCCAGGAGTGGGATTGCTGGATCATACGGTAGTTCTATTTGTATTTATTTTTTATTTGATTGTGTTTGTGTTTTCTAGTGTCTGGGCACTTTTTTTTTTTTTTTTTTTTTTTTTTTTTTTTTTTTTTTTTTTTGTGGTAGAGACAGAGAGAAAGAGAGAGAAAGTGAGAAATCACTGCCCGGGGGATGGCCATGCTGCAGCCCCCTTCCTCTAGTCTTCTCTTGGGATTTTGTGCACACCTACACACGTGCCTGGTGTGATTCTTAAGCCACTGGGTCTGGGATTCAAACTGCAAAGTCAGCCACGTGGGCCTAGCACCTTAACCTCCATGTCACCTGCTGGCCCTCTAGGCGCTCCTCGAGCTCCTCAGGGAATGGCTGTCTTGCCTCTTCTCTGAGAATAGGGATTCTCGTTTTGAAGTTTTGTTTGATCCCTGCGGCATCGCTAGCTCTTCCCATTCTTTTTCCTACTTGTGTTTTCTCTCTTTCGTGTTAGAGGCATTTCTTTTTTTTTTAATAATTATTTTATTTAACTTTTATTTCTTCATTTTAATTTGACCAGAGAGGGACAGAGCAAGAGAGTGAGAGAGGGAAAGTGAGAAAGTAAGCCAGCAGGTCTGGGACTCAAATTGCAGTTGGCCATGTGGGAGCCCCGGGCCCTTAACTGCCACACCACCTGCTGGCCACGAGGCTTTTCTTAAATAATATCTCAGTTCATTCCTACTTAAGAGAAAAGCCTTAAAAAACCGGCGGGAAGCTGCGTGTGCAGTGGGGACTCCTCACGGAGTAGGTTTCTCTGGGGAGTGGCCTGCTGTGACCCGGTTGTCTCATCCAAAAGCCCGAGGACCTTGGACTCCGTAGGGCTACTGGGGAGAGGGAGGGGCAGTTTCCTTTCTCCAGAGAAGACTACCAGCTCCTGCTTGGAGGGTGCAAGCTGAGCCGGCGTTCTCGGGGTGTTGCGCACCCTTCAACCCGATCTCCCCGTTTTTAGATCCACACTTCTCCTTTCAGTAGCCCCTGGTTCCTGGGCGTGTCTCTCTGGGCTCAGTCCGCTCTCCTCAGGTGAGGTGGAACCGGTGCAGGGCTGGGCTGAGCAGGGCTCTGTGCAGGCTTGAGCTGGGCCCCTCTTCAGTCCCTCACCCACCACTTCTCACACACCTGCAGCTTCCAGTTTCAAGATCTTTTTGGGTTCCAGGGTACAGGCCACTCACTCCTCCCTCCTGTAACCCCCAAGGCATTTGGTGTTCGGCTCTATTCTCTCTCTCTCTCCCTTGTCTCTTTTTTTTCTTCTAAAATGTATAATGTTAGCATTTCTTTTTTTAAAAAAGAATTATTTATTTAATTTTATTTATTCATTCACTTATTTTAATTTGACCAGAGAGAGACACAGAGAATGAGGGAAAGTGAGAAAGTAAGCCACTAGTCTTAGGACTTGAACTGTAGTCAGCCATGTGGGAGTGTCCAGCACCTTAACCACCATGCCACCTGCTGGTCCCCATAATGTTAGCATTTCTAGTCCAATATTTGTCATATGCTTGGACTTCTTTTTATTACTACTACTATTATTATTTTTGAGAGGTTTTTGCTATAGGGCGCATGCGCTCGCCAGACAGAGACATAGAGACAGAAAGCGAGAAATCACCCCCCAGAGGGGATGGCCACGCCGCAATCCCTTCTCCTCCATTCTCCTCTCGGGATCTTGGGCACGCACGCACACACGCCCGGCGTGAGTTTTAAGCCACCAGGTCCGGGACGCGAGCTGCGGTCGACTGTGTGGGAGTCCAGCGACATAGCCATTATGCTAACTGCTGGTTCCCACTACTATTATTATTAATCTTCACTTTCAGAGATGTTATAAGAAAGACATATGTTCAAGTTACCAAGTTTTAATAATTTACTTATTTGTGTTTTTATTGGTGATATGCACACACACACACCCCTGTATACTAAATATGAATATATCCAAGTGATCCGAAAGACAAGTCGTGAGAAGTGCGAAGTCCAGCCCTGCACACCCTCAGTTACCAGTTGCTCTTGTGTCCTCCCACAGAACATCGCACACACGTGCACACAGACACACACAGTAGGTGGTGGCGGCCCATCTTGAAGGAAGCAGTTTCTCTGCACATCCCTGACAATACTGTATGTTAAGTTCAGGGCAGTCCTTCATCTGGAGACATGAATCTCTTGGGCCGAATTTCAGGTTCCATTCAGGCGGCAGGTATTTTCAAGGTCCTGCCAAGTGCTGCCTCAAGGGATCCGTGTCCCAGCAGGCTGTGCATGGGGAAGGGGCAGTCGTGGTGACATCTCGCTCTTCTCATGTGGCTTCTTTCATCCCTGCCTGCTCTGACTTCCGTTTGCTCCTCTGTGTCTCCTCCTGTTTTCACCCATCCCCTCTGGGTGCACTGGGCTGGCTCGTGGTCCCGGTGACTGGCCTGTGAGCTAAGCCACACGTGACCCCCCGGCTCAGGGTGCCCTTCCTGGCCACCTCTGCACACTCTGAGTGGTACCCTCTGCTGCCTGGCTGACTAGCCTTTCTCCGGGTGGAACCCAGAGGCACCCTGCATGCTGCAAGGCTGGGCTGGCCTGGAGAGCTCGCCGCGGGACCGTCCTTGACAGTGCTGTCAGCATGGCTTCTCATCCCCTGCAGGGCCTGCTGCCGCCAAACCCGACTTGATCTCCAAACTGGAACGGAGAGCTGCACCCTGGACCAAGGGCCCAGATGGGCCACAGTGGGGCAGAGGTCATCCTCCAGGTGAGTCTCGTCGACCCAGTTCCGCAGGCACGTGCAGGGCCCACGCAGCTCTGGCATGTCATGTGGGGTTGGCTCAGTCAGGCTTATCCTGGACCCGCTGGGCACCAGGCCCTGTAGTGGGCACTGGGTAGACAAGGATGGAGACTAGCCTGCCCTCAGAGTGCAGAACAGCCTGGGGAACAGGGACATCACAGGACAGGATGTGCTTTGATGAGCAGGAGCGCCGAAGGAGCTGTGGTCAGCTGATGGAGGAGACAGGTGGGGACCTGAACCCCGGAACAGGGGGCCTGCAGGTCTGGAGCCCCTGCCGGGTGTCCAGTTCACAGCACTGCTGGACCATGAATTTGCTCTGTCTCACCTCCTCACACAGCAGCTGGGGCTGCTCTTCTCAGCTGGGGCTGCTATGTGTGCTTGGGCAGCTCCCCTCTTCCCAGGGCTCATGAGAAGACTTGTGGGTGTCTAACCCTCTTTCCTGCTGGAGCCCCACAAAGGGATTAATGCCACCTGTTTCTCCAGTAGTATTGATGGCCCAGGTGGCTAACTAAGCGCATCAGCATCTGAAGTCAGTGGCCCCAGGGTGGCTGTGTGTATAGAGACGGGGAGGCTGGCACTGGAGCCCACAGTTAGCAGCTCCTGGGGAGCCAGGCTGCCTTTCATCGATGATAACAGGGTGGGGCTGAGTAGAAGCTGCTAGTGCTTTCTAGAGAGATGAATCACACTCATCTCTGCTTTGCATGGGGGTGCTCACTGAACCTGGGGACACTTAGTGGACGGAAGACCGCAGAGCTCTGGGCAGCAGAACCAAGCACGCTTTGATTTTCTCTGAAGGGACAAGGAAGATGGTGACTGCACGGGAGGCAGACGCACGGGCCTCGGCTGTGGAATCCTCATTGCTCCCAGCTCCTGCGGAGACACGTCCTTCCTTCTGCGCTGCCGGCATGTGCGAAGCGGCTGATGGGCCTGGACAGATGAGGAGGACGTACAGGCCCCGCTCCATCCAGAGGTCGTGGTTCAGACAGTTCCCGTGGTTAGCGGTTGGCCCCGGGGAGACCGTGCTCTTCTGCTCCGTGTGCAGAGGGAGACCCAGCCTCCATGACAGGTCGTCTCGGTTGGTCAGAGGTTACACGGGGCCTTTCAAGGTGGAGACCTTAAAGTACCACGAGGTCAGCAAGGCCCACAAGCTCTGCGTCAACACGGTAGACGTCCAGGAGGACACCCCTCAGGCCGCCCTGGTCCCCGAGATCTCCAGCGACCTCATGGCAAACATGGAGCACTTCTTCCACGCCGCCTACTCCATCGCGTACCACTCGAGACCCCTGAATGACTTCGAGAAGATCCTGCAGCTCCTCCAGAGCACTGGGACCACGATTTTAGGCAAGTACCGAAACCGCACTGCGTGCACCCAGTTCATCAAGTACATCTCGGAGACGCTGCGGAAGGAGATCCTGGGTGACGTCCGGAGGTCCCCCTGCGTGAGCCTGGTGCTGGACAGCTGCACGGACACGGCCGCCCAGTCCTGCGTGGGCATCTTCCTCCGCTACCTCAAGCAGACGGAGGTGAAGGAGTCGTACATCGCGCTGGCCCCCCTCCCCAGCGAGACGGCCGACGGCTACTTCGAGGCGGTCATTTCGGCCCTGGACGAGCTGGACGTCCCTTTCCGGAAGCCCGGCTGGGTGGTGGGCCTGGGCACCGACGGCTCGTCTGTGCTGAGCCGCTCAGGGGGCTTGGTGGCACAGCTCCAGGAGGTCGTCCCCCGGCTGCTGCCCGTCCACTGCGTGGCCCACCGGATGCAGCTGGCAGTGGTGGATGCTTGCGGGGACATCGACCTGGTGCGGAAGTGTGACCGGCACATCCGCACCGTCTTCAAGTTCTATCAGTCCTCCAGCAAGAGGCTGAGCGAGCTACAGGAGGGCGCAGCCCTGCTGGGCCAGGAGATCGCCCGCCTGAAGGATTTGAACGCCATCCGCTGGGTGGCCAGCAGGAGGCGCACGCTGAACGCGCTCATCGGGAGCTGGCCAGCCCTGGTGAGGCACCTCCAGAGCGTGGCAGAGGCTGGGGGGCAGACTGGGCACAGGGCCAAGGGCATGCTGAAGCTGATGAGGGGCTTCCATTTCGTCAGGTTCTGCCACTTCCTCCTGGACTTCCTGAGCATCTACAGGCCGGTGTCAGAGGTGTGCCAGAAGGAGATTGTGCTGGTCACTGAGGTGAACTCCGCGCTGGCACGGGCCTACCTGGCCCTGGACACCCTCCGTTGCCAGGCAGGGCCCAAAGAGGAAGAGTTCGAGGCCTGCTTCAGGGATGGGCGGCTCCATGGCATCTCCCTGGACAGAGTGGAGATGGCAGGGCAGCGGTTCCAGGCTGACCGGGCACGCATGATCCTGACCGGCGTCGAGTACCTCCAGCAGAGGTTTGGTGCAGACCGGCCCCCGCAGCTCCAGAGCATGGAGGTATTTGACACGGTGGCCTGGCCCAGCGGGACTGAACTCACCAGCTTTGGGAACACCGACATTCTCACCCTTGCCAGGTACTTTGAGGCCTCCCTGCCCCCCGGGTACAGTGAGGAAGCTCTGCTGGAGGAGTGGCTGGGCCTGAAGGCCGCCACCCAGAACCTCCCGTTCTCCCTGCTGTGCAAACATGCCCTGGCCCAGCACTGCCGCTTCCCCGTGCTGAGCAGGCTCATGGCTGTGGTGCTCTGCGTGCCCATCTCCACCTCCTGCTGTGAGCGGGGTTTCAGGGCCATGAACCGGATCAGGACCGACGAGAGGACCAAGCTCTCCAGCGAGGTGCTCAACATGCTCATGATGACGGCCGTGAATGGCGTGGCGGTTGCAGAGTACGACCCGCAGCCTGCCATCCAGCACTGGTACCTGACCTCCTCTGGCCGGCGCTTCAGCCATGTCTACACCTGTGCCCAGGGGCCAGCCCGCTCCCATGCAGGCACGTACCCCCAATAGGGCTTAGGGCGCAGACATAAAGTGGGGGGCTCTTGTCTTCCTAGACTCACACTCAGCCGGAAGTTCCACCCCCCAGCCAGCAAGAGAGGCCTGGTCCGTGGGTATCTGAGGGTTTCTCCTACGGGCCTGACTATCTGCCAGACCAGTGGGCCTCGCAGCACTGAACCCACCCTCGAGATGCTTATTCTCCAATGGGAGAGGCAGGATGCGAGCCCTCCGTAGCTCAGTCTGGCCAGGCTCTGGGTCAGCTCTGCTGCTTGGCGGCCATGTGGCCTGCGGCAGGCCAGCCCCTCTGTGTTTCAGGGAGTTAGCGCAAAGCCCTTAGAGCAACGTCTGGTAACTGGTGCAGGTGGCGCCGGTCAAAGGTGAAGACTGACTGGGAAGGCCTGGAGGACTGGACGGGGCGGGCAGTGCCTCTTCTTCCTGTGTGGAGCCAGGCAGGGATTTGCAGGAGGAAGAGGCCAGTGCAGGTCAGAGTGGCCAGAAGGAGCAGCGCTGCACAGGAGGTGGCGGGAGGGGCAGGGAGCTAGGAGGGAACGGAGACCCCGCGAGACGGCTGTGGCAGGCGCCCCCCAGCCGGGGGGGGCGGGG